TCTTTCTGCTTTAGCCTCTCTAGTATCTAGGATCACAAGCATGTGCCACCATGCCTGGCTGTATGTGTTACCAACCTGGAAACCAAATGTGTATCTTTTTTATGCACAATACTGTGCCTCTTATTGGCTCTGCCTTTTATATATAGACTTGTATTTCAAACTATTCAGTTCAGCACTCACTGATAGCCAAGAGATTCTATCTACCTTTTGTGAGTGTCAAGCTTACTTCGTGAGTTTGCATTTGAATACCTAAAAATCAAACCAATTCAGTCATTACTTTCACCAGAGCATTGCTGGCCATCACTTGTAGAAAATTGTTTTTATGTGCAAAACATGTTTCCTCTTATTAAGTAAAAAATGTTACTTGGTATATCCCCCTCCTCCAAAAGTAATTTCAAATTGTCTTAAGTTGGCAAATGCCCCCTTAGTAATTCTTTCGGGTGTTTCTCAGTTGCTTGCCTGAAGTCTCCTGCTTCTGTTAATATATTTTAACTTAAAAGATAAAATGTTTAGTGCCCTGCTTTGAACACCCAAGCTTCTTAGTTAAAATGTGCCCTACCTCTGAGCTCCCAGGAAACTGAGACCCCTCTACCCAGCATAGAAGCAGTTTTACTGGTCTTACTGATAAGCCCTCTGTGTATCCTGGCAGACGAGGTGGCTCACAGGCATCTGAATTTTACTTATATTTTTGTAATGGCTGAAGGCTATAAACCACAAATTTCATCAGAAATAATATGAAAAGGAAAGCTGGATTTTTGCACATTCTCCCTTATTATTATCTCACACACACACACACACACACAATATTATCAAAAGAATGATAAGCATTATGACAATTGGCTTCTTCTTACAGGTGGAGCTTTGTCATTAGTGGAGATGATGATTTTAATTTAAATGTAAGTTTTAGGTATATAGTCCTTCCATTCTTGTAATAGTCCTATTTGTTCCTGTGCCATAAATAACCATGATAGGTAAGACATAGTTTTATAGTAGAGGTGGAGCAGTTTCTGGAACAGCTTGAATAGGAATATCCAGAGTTAGAAAAAAGGATTAACAATATATCAGGCTGCTAAAACATTATCTTTTAGAGGACTTGACCTGTCATGAGACATTTCTAGCTATTATGCTAATAATAGAAATATTAAGATGTTAATAATTTTGTACCTTTTGAGAACTTGAAATGCATGTAGGGCAGATAAGGAATGAAATTCTAATTTTTATTTCATTTATATTAATTTAAATAACCATGTAACTAGTAGCCACCATACTGGAGAATACAAAATGAATATTTCTGCTGTTGCCACTGGACCATGCATTAAACATTCCTATAAAGTAGAAGGCTTTATCTTTATAGACCTGCAGTTTTAAAATGTTGATTCGTGGTAGCAGAGGTTTTGGAACCCCAGTCTCTGCGTTTATTCTCTGTCCTCTTCTCCCAACCTGTCTCCTTGTTTTCTCCTCTTTTTATTTAATTGCTTTAACAACAATTTTAAGCATGAGACCTTCTATTTGCTCTCCTTCCCACTCCCATTTACACATTTGATCAACCCCATTCAAATAGAGAAAGTGGACAGGACTTGCTGATGGATTCGCTGGGAGGTAGTGAGAAAGACAAAAGGAATCCAGGTGAGAACTTCGCTTTTATGACCTGAGTGGTAAGGTGGGTCAGTTTCCTCAGTATTGAGAACCTGATCATTAATCCATGCCTCCAACCAATGTTTAGCAGCTCTTATAAATCTCTAAGAAAGAGAGGTTTGGATCTTGACATAGAAAACAATATATGTACTAGTTAGGGAAATTTACATATGAAAATTTACATTAGGACAAAAATCACAGCCTCATGGACTCAGTTGAGAACCTGATAGTTGAGGGCTTTACCTTTGACTTCACTATGGTATATTGCTCAAGTTCTTGTTTTACCCATGAAGTCATATGGAACACAGTTGCTTTTGCCAGGCACAATGGCATAGACCTGTAGTTCCAGCTCTATCCAGGAGGCTGAAACAGGAAGCTCACTTGAGCTCAGGAGTTTGAGGCCTGGGCATATAATAGCAGGACACTGTCTCTTTTTACCTGCCCCCCCCCCAAGTTTCTACTACATGGCACAAATTCTCTTTGTAATATCTGGTACAAAAACCGTAAGATTATATTCTCATAAATCAAATATTTGGATTGGGTCTAAGAAAGATACATCAGTATGAACCTCAGAAGAGCATCTCAGGACTAAAACAGACTGTAGAGTCAGTTGATTATTCACAGTCAAATACTTTATGATCAAAATGACCTTAGCCTATCCTTTAAGCCATATATGTGTCAGGTGAGCATCACTTTTACCACATATGTGTTTAAGGAAGAGAATGTAAGATGTCAAACTTGGCTGCTTTTGTAGAGTCAGTTTAGATAATTGAGGAAAAAATTAAGAAATTACAAAAAAACCCCAATCTAATGACAGTTCATAAGAGCTTTAACAAGTATTTTTATTATAGGAGGGCCATATTAATTCAGATTCAATTATGTAAATTTACAGAATGAAGTGGGGACAAAATCAGCCTGTACCAAGGCTTGTTTCTTTGACTGTTTCTTAAAAAAGAGTTTCCTGGTTGTTCTTGAGGTAGTTTCTATGTTACTTCAAGTCAAGGATATTTGTAATCAAAATAATTAGCTGATAAAATTTACTCATCAAGTGATTTGGAAATAATTCTGAAAAAAATATGAGATCATTAAATTATAAACCTTAGAAACATGACTATCAGATTGTATTGTTCGTTTCTGTTTATATACTCATATAAAACACTGTTTTTAATATGATCATGCAGAGTCTTTGAATTTACTCAGGAAAAGGAAGACTTGTTTGGACAATGTCATAAGCTCTTAGACTGTAGTCAGTGAAAAGACATCAGAAATTGGTAATAATAGGATTTTGCCAAAGAGCAAGTTAACATAAACGGGCAGGTTGCTGTGTAGGTGAGGTGTTTACTGAACTCTCTCTTGTCTGGCATCTGCCAGTGTAACTAAACTCCATGACCAGAGCTGTTCATAGGACTTGTGTGTGTGCATGTATAGTGGTCAAACAGAAAAAGTCCTGATAATTAGTGCCTCTCTTAAGTCCTGGGCTTGAAGACCAGAATGATAGTTCTGTAGTCTTTGGATGCTAAAAGTAAGTGAAGTGCTATTTGATGATGGTGATGCATAGGTTCTGAGTGTCATCCAGAACACAGGATGTGCTACAGTAAGCGTGGATTTGTGAGGAACAGTGATAGCTATGTCAGTTTCCAGGCTTTTTCTGGAATGTCATCTTTAATGCACCCTGTGCCTTAATCATGAAAATGAATGTTTTTCCTGAGAAAGGCTTGGAGGAATCTGTGATCTAGACAGAAATTAATGTTGAATTGTTGGCGTACAGAATTTGGATGATGATGGACAGTAAAACTCACTTCGTAGAGGGCATGTCTAAGGAAGCCAGGCAGTCACACATGAAATATTGGATCTGGTTACTCACTGAGTATTGGAGAAGGCTGTCTGCTTGGCTTTGGATAGTAAGTTCTATGTCACATACTTTCTCCTGCTACCTGTTCATATGTCCTACACCAATGAGTCAGGATGATTCCATGCCAGAGATATGAACCCAATGCAAGGTTTTCAGTGTGCATTTCTGTACCTTGCAAGGCTAGAAGCAGCTAGAGGTGTCTTGAGGAAATTAAACGTAACTGTTCAAATTAAGAGACATTCCCTTTTCTTTCTCCAAGACCAAGTCAAATGTATATAAGGGCAGATTGTTTTGGAGGCAGAAAAAATCAGGAATATAGAAAAGACATTGTTTTTATGGAGTAGTTACAGTAATTATAAACTGAGTGGCTGATCCTTAAGCTTAAAAGTTCCTGTATGTTCTTAAGAGTCTGTCTCACTCTAATTCAGAAATTCAAAGTAGAACAATTCAGGACCAAATATTTGCATTCAGCCATGACATTGGTTACTCTGCCCAGCTTAGAATATGGGAGATTACATAAAATTACATAAGCCTTCAGCTCTAGAGTGACAAAAAACTTTTAGGTCTGCTTTTCAGGGTCACCAGCCTTGATGGCCAAGAGCAGTGTGGCTGCTAATACAGCTCTTGGAAATTCTCTGTCCCAGTCAAGCTACCTTTCTTGCTCAGGGCTTAACATGAAATCTTTGGGAGACAGTTTAGCCAGCAGTGCATTCTCATTGTGTATGAGACAGTTAGCTGCTGGAATGGCAGTTTATTGCCTACCCAGAATATGGAGAGCCAGTCTGGACACCATTAGACATCTACTTAAATGTTAATGGATACTATAAAATAATAGTGGATCTTTAAAAGGGGGAAAGGGAACAAAGCTTAGTAGAAAGCTATATGCATTTGTAGAAGATTAGATAACATAAGTTCTTAGTGTCTTTGACTACAGGATGCTTTATTTGATTGAATAAGTGAATTGGTGCTACAGTGGCTTTTCTTTTTTGCCAGTTTTCTGTCTTCCATCTATGAATAATGAAGAATGACTGTACTTAGAAAACAAGCAGGTTTGATTTATGCACAGTGCTTCTGCTTATCAACATTGACCCATATTGCTCTCATTGCCTTTACCCATTCACTCAGTTAAGCAGATGGCATATTCTAACATGTTTCAAAGTTTTTATTTACCATCTCTGCACCATTCATGTATTTTTAGGTGAGCTAGACTCCAGCTGACCATGTAGTACTGATCCCAGCTTTAGGAAGAGCATTGACAGCAATGGTCTCTGGTTTCCTGAGTCTATAATTTATTTAAAGACACTCTTGTCTTCCCTGCACCAGGACATGCCAAGGCATGTACTTTGCTCTAAACAAAAAGAAGTTCATATTTCATACTATTGGCCATATTTAAACCAGCATTCCAGATAACAGCCTGGAAGGCCACACAAGCTCACTCTATAGCTGAGGCAATGTTCTTGTTCTCTTTGGGATGAGCATTGCTCATGCTGTGTCTTGAAACTTTCAATTTCAGATGCTAATGCTGGAGACCGTGGACAGACCAATAATGCTGCTTCTGCATCAGCTTCCAACTCCACCTGAACAGTTTGAAGCAGCCAGCTGCACAGGAAAAACCACCAGTTACTTGAGTGTCACTCAGCAACACTGGTCACGTTTGGAAAGAAAATTAAAAAGAGAAAAAAAAACCTGTTCATTTTAGTGTTCAATTTTTTTATTATTGTTCTTATTTAACCTTGTAAAATATCTATAAATACAAATAATTTCATTGTATTTTCACTTTGCAGGAGACCCAGGGTGGGAGGGGTTATGGGAGGGGAAAGCGGAGCACTCGAACACATAATCTCTCTCCCATGACAATCTTTTTTTTTTTAATCAAAAGTCTACCGTTGTATATTTTAAAAACAGGACTTCTGCCTCGTGCCCCTTCCACAAAAGAAGAAAACTTTGTTCTGCGCTAAAGGTTTTTTTTGAACTTTGTTTTCTTTGAAAGTCTAGTGTAAGACTTTGGTATAGTGCACAGCTTGAAATTGGTTGGGAGCTTAGCAGGGATAACGCAATGGGGACTTATGTGTCACTTGTAAAATTAATCCATATCCTCTGGTATTAGACTTGCCTTTGGCATGTTGGTGGCAGTGTGGCAGACAAAAATGAAATGTGTATCAAGTGTAACCCAGGGACATCAGTGCAGTTTGTAGCTATACAGGCAAGATCTCAGTTGATTGATCCAGGTTGGCTCTGCTCTTAATCATTGCTAGTGATGAAAAAGCTGGTACAGGAGGCCACCAAGGAGGAGCAGCAAGCAGAACTCGGCCTGTGTGCTCCATGGTGGGTCTTTGTTCCCCGACCAAAGATTCTCTGCAGTCTTCATACAGTTTTAAGTTGGTGACCTAGAAGGACACTGAAGAGTGTTAAGGCCGAAGCGGCTACAGAAGTCAGAGACTGATGGGCCTAGAAGGGGACAGGCCAGAGGCACATCTCACCACTGTGAATGAGCTTGTCCAGACTTCTCCTGAAGTCATCGGAAAGATATTAAGAGAGGACATTATCGTTAAATAATGTGAACTGTAACCATCTACTGCTTTATTTTTTCGTATTTTTAATTGAAAACCAAGCTTGTTGGAATTGCCACATCTACATATAATTGTAATTCTAAATCCAAATCTAGAATCTGTATTTAATTTCAGCTTTTTTAACCTCATGCTTTTTAAATTTATTTATTGATGCATGTCAGATAGGCCATTATGATTTTAGATGGTAGGAATATACATCAAAATAATAAACAAGTCACCTGTACCTGCTCACATTATAGGAAAACTGATTATATAAATGTATGTATATATGTTATATATACATGTACTCAATGCTGCCTTTTCTTTTTTGTCTACATGGTATCAAAATTGGTTAAAGCATGAGAAGAATGTGTCAGCCACCCACCCACCCAGTTGAGATTTTTTGTTTTCTTTGTTTCTCAGTGAATAGTGTAAGAATCAGTCTCTTGTTTTTGAAGAAAAAAGCAATATTCCTTGGAAAGCAAGGAGGATTAAAGGATTGTGTTTGCAGGTGAAGAAAGTAGATTTTCACAACTAGTTTGTTTTATACTTTTAGAATTGGTATCTCTGTGGGCCTTATATACTCTAAAATGAACCTTAGTCACCTTGGTGCTTACGGGCCATTACTTGACCTATGAATCTTTAAGGCACAATCAGTTTCATTTTACATTTAAAGATCCCTTGAGTGATGGCATCTTTCCCTCCTACCCACACCTCCACACACCTTCCGAGGTTAGCTGATAACTGTAGAGCTTCAGAGCTGAGCACTAGGTTATAGGGAAGCGCCCTTCACCCTCCTGGCAGCCTCCTTAGGTCGTGTTAGAGTGGCTCCCCCACCAGCTAGTAAGGAAGGGAGTCTCTTGGCAGCCCTCATGCAGGCCTAGCACTCTGTCCTGCTTCTTCACCCTGTTTGTGACTCTCCAAGAGAGTTGTCCTGCCTGCTGAAGTGAACCAATACCCAGAAAGACAACTGGGAGCCATCTTAGTTTTCACTCACTGTTTAGCTAACCTTAGGCAATAGAAGGCATTTCTCAAACTTCCAGTTATATCACGGTTCATGCGACAGGAGACATGGTCAAGTCAAACCAAATCAACTTTAATTTTACTTTTTATAAAGTGCTTCTGAGAGCTAAGACTTGGAAGAAGTCTAAAATCAAAGTATTTAAAGCATAGTTCCTTAAAGGGATTGGCTTTGATAGACCAGTTTTAGAAAAGATTTATAAAGAATCACAATAGGCAGGTCTGTGACAGAAATGGACCTGCTTTCAGATCAAACTGCCCAGCCAGACATTTGGATACAGATACTACTACGGACTTGGTATACTTGCTGAAGTCTGTAAGAATCTGTGCTTGTTTTAGAAAATACCTTCCCTCCTCCCACCCCAAGTGGAGTAAGAGAAGGAGAAAAGTCAGGTGCTCTTTTCTCTCTCATTTGCTCTCGCTCTCTCGCACTCTCTCTTCCTTCTCTTGTCTCTTGTCTGTCTCGTGTGTGTTGAGGGCGCAGAGGTGCACAATTTGTCCTCAAGAATCATGGTGGGATCACAGAACTCTTTTATACAAGTGAGATCCAGGTCTCTGAATATCTTTGTAAATAATAATTAAAAGCTCCTCACCAAATTCAAGCTTGTACATTATATTTTCTTTCAATATTTTTAAATTTAAGTTTTATTGTTTTGTATGTAAATATGTGGACCCAGGAACTGTTATTAATGAGCAAAAAGTTAACTGTTCAGGGCAGTGATTCTGTTTAATAATCAGACAAAATGTAGACGAGCTTTTTAAAGCCATATAGTTTTAACTGTACAGTAGGTACCGGCCTGTATTATTGTAACAATAACTCTAGCAATGTATAGTGTATCTATATAGTTTGGAGTGCCTTCGCTTCTATGTGTTTGATTTTTTTTTTGTTTTGTTCTGTTTTTTATTTTTCATTTTTAGAATTTTATTGTTTTCCTTTATCCATGACTCCCTGTACATTCCTCTTTCCCTTTTAAAATAACTCACAAAATTATCTTTGCCCCCTCCACAGTTGTTTCAGTGACATCATGCTCAGGAGTGGGAAGAGGAAACCACGTTCATAATCTCATTTCATTCAAGCCCTGCCTTTGTTTTAGTTCTGAATGTCTGTTTCCTCCTCAGTAGTGACCGGTTTCATTTCATACTTGGTCCGTACAGGAACTTAGTACTGGGAGCCCTGGAGCTGGAGGATATCGAATAGATTCGATTTTGCTCGTCTCTTCCACAAACCCTAACCATGGGTCTTACAGCAGATTCTGGGAGCCTTCCATGGTCGATCTCTCCCTCCCCCCTCTCTCTGCGTCCCTCCCAAATGAGAGAGAGAGAAATGATTTTTTTTTCTAAATCAAGGTATCTTCACAGTATCGACTTTTGATATGGCAGTGGTCTAAAATGCTCTAGTGCACTTACTGGCAGTCTACAGCATGGAGTACCTCCATGCCCGTGGAGCACTGTTGTTTTAATACAGGACTCTTAGCCCATACCCTCTCTCCTGCCATCTCTACCCCTGTTCAATGAAATATCATTTTAATTTCTCTTTTAAAAATCAGTTTAATTTTTTACTGTGTGCCCAACATGTAGTAGGCCTTTTTTGAAAGAAAAAAATGTGTAAAGTAGTTGTTTTGCCTCCAAGTACTTCATATAAAATGTCTTGAAGAAAAAACTACCAAACCAAAGGTTACTATTTTTGAAACATGCATTCATTCCAGCAAGGCAGAAGACTGCACCTTCTTTCCAATGGCATGTGTCATTTAAAGTCCTCTAAGTTTTAGACCCATCTTCTTAAGTTTGTGTTTTAACAAAGTAATGCCTGACCAGTCAGTCATCTCTGTCTGCACCAATGCAAAGGTTTCTGAGAGGACTATTGTATTCTCTTATCCCTGTGGATATAAAGACACTGGCATTTCATTTATTTTTCCCTTTCCTTTTTAAAGAATTTAACTTTGGAATCTTCCAAAGGAAGGTTGGCCAATGCCAGATCCCCAGGAGTTTGGGGTTTTTCTTTATTTTAAACCAAAATTGTGTCTGATTCCTATTGTTGATTTTAATGATAATCTGATCACAGAGATGAACACTTATCTGTCCTGTATAGAAAAATAAGCATGCTTTACAATAAAATCTGTCTTTTCAGTAGAAACCTGAGCCACTGAAAACAAGAGAGACAACTAGAAATACAGTAGAGTCCCAGACTAAGGTCTACCTTTGAGAGGCTTTGAAAGTAATCCCTGGGGTTTGGATTATTTTCACAAAGGTTATACTGTTTTTTACTCAACTTTGTCGCTCCGTTTTGCACCTCCGCAGTAAAAGCAAAATGACAACCAGTACATAAGGGGTTGGCTTGATAAAGTAGACTTCCTTGTGTTAACTTTTGGTTTTTTTGTTTGTTTTTGGATTTTTTGGGTGGTTTTTTTTTTACTATATCTGTCTACAGGCAGATACAGATAGATGTATGAAAATGTGCTTGCCTGTAAAATTTGCATTTATAAATGTGTTGCCGATGGATCACTTGGGCCTGTACACATACCAATTAGCGTGACCACTTCCATCTTAAAAGCAAATCTAAAAAATTTATTATATATATATATATATATATAAAGGACTGTGGGTTGTATACAAACTATTGCAAACACTTGTGCAAATCTGTCTTGATATAAAGGAAAAGCAAAATCTGTATAACATTACTACTTGAATGCCTCTGTGACTGAATTTTTTTCATTTTAAATATAAACTTTTTTGTGAAAAGTATGCTCAATGTTTTTTTCCCTTTCCTGTTCCCTTGTAAATACATTTTGTTCTATGTGACTTGGTTTGGAAATAGTTAACTGGTACTGTAATTTGCATTAAATAAAAAGTAGGTTAGCCTGGAAATGAAACTAAAATTCACAAGTGTGTGGTCTTTATTTCAGTACCCATCCCTCTTCTTATTTTGCCACTGTACTGCATAGTCACCATTTCCATTCCTCTAGGGAAACATGAATATTTGTTATAAAAATCAAGGCATGAATGCCATGTCATGTTCTTTCAAATAACATTACTCTGCTGTTACGGCCACAAGAGATGCAGCTTCCCACTTGGAAACCTTTGGATTCAATGTAAAGGAAGCTTTGCAGACACTGCTTTAAAGAGAAAGAAAACAGTCCCTAAAAGGGACAGTTGTAAAGACTGTGTACAAGCTGCTGTCTTTGGTTACTGCGTTCATGGTTTGGTGTATCTGTATTTTCTTTTAACTTTCATTCTATTAGTAATAATCTTTGGGGGTCTCTGTAAAATATATGAATACCACAAACAGTGGGGCTGTACCTCCCAGGTAACCAACATATGTTGTGTTTGAGTCTGCTCATTTTCAATACTGGATGGTGTATGTAAACATGTTATGTCTCTTAGTGCAAAAAGAAACATTTTTTTAGGGCTGACTCTGTCAGTCCTGATTGAAAGGCTAGATATAAGGTCATGTGACTGCTGCTTCAATAAAAACAAATTTATATTCCACAAGATCTGGTCCTCTCTATTTACTGAGGCAGTGGGGTGGGCTGATTGCATTCCTATTTGTAAAATGGCAAAAAAAAACAATGGGGAAGGGGAGGGACCTGGACAAGCAGAAACCAGATGCTACTTGTGGTATGGGCCTCATGTTGGCCTTGAAGTCCATTTGTTTGGGACTTGGTCTTACCTTGTTAGGTCCTGTCTTAGGTGTTTGAATTGGGATTGAGCTAAATGTCCTGTAAGGCATCCTTTTAATTTAGAACCCTGAAAGGCTCCTGTTTGGTTTCTAAATTCTTCCAAAAAGGGAGATGAAAGTCCTTTGGGTTCATGTTTCAGGAAGCACTGATAGTGAATTCCTTTATGAAAGAAAGTGAATAGAAATGTTGGGATGGTCACCCATGTCTCGGGAGTGGGAATAATTAATCCACCCATCAGCACCACGGGACTTAGGAAAGCTGTGGGTAGATAAGGGGAATGCAAGCAGGGGAAACAGGCTGCTGTGGGAGTTGATAGGATGAGCTGACAAATGGTCTGGGGCTAGGTTGAAGTAGATTGTCAAATGCTTCTCTTTACAACCTCTTTTCCCCAGAAAGAGCTAAATTAAATAGAAATTTGTAGAGGACCATAGTATTGATTGTGCCCAAAGCAGGCTGTAAATAGTTAACCCCACAATTGGCTTGTTTTGAGAAGTGAATCTGGCCAAAGCCTCCATGCCGTGCCGAGGTCAGAGTACCTCGCACTCAAATTCTGTTCCAACTAAAACCTAACTAAAAAAACAATGTTCTAAATACAACCATATATTTTGTCTGTTCTGTTCCTAATTCAAAAATGCTTTGTCTTGTCCTTTATGAGCCTTGTTTACATTAATTTCCATAAGAACCACTCATAGCTCGCCTTTAATCCAATTAATTTCCAACAAAAGTCAGTGTCTGGGACTGGCCAGCACTTTTGTCAGTTGCAACCAGCATTGATCATCCTGGCACCCCACTTTGTCTCCTAGTTCTATCTCTTAATATATTTTTTTTCCCTCAGGCCTACATCATACACTAGACAGGTAGATACTGAAACCTAACTACAAGGGTCTCTGACAAATCAATATATGGTCAGAGTTTGGGCCTTCAAGAAAGCACAAAAAAACAGAGACATCAGAATTGTGGCTGGAGGCAAATCTGAAGCGAGCCAGGGCTCAGAATATAGGTGAATAGCCAGGCCTGCAAGATAAACAACTTGAGGTTATACTGTAATCATCACCACCTAGTCCAGGCATGAGGCACCTGGATAGGTGACCAGAACTCCAGACCTGTACTCCCCTCCCTTCCCCAAAGGTTCTTTCCATGTACCCCTGCTACATGACTCTTTTCCCTATTATATTAGCTAAATGGCTATACCTGTAATCTTTTAGGTTGATTATAGTTTTTACCATGTTATACCCACACTGTGACTTTGCTGTATAAAAAACTACCCCTGACAAAGGGCCTCAGTGGCCACCCATTTGGGATCCTCCTGAAAATCTAGGCACTATTAAATACTTCCCCTTATTACAATTAAACTCTCCTAACTTCTTCCTTTGGCTCTCGACTTCATTCCTCAGTGTTCTAAGACCAGGAACTCAGCACATTTGACACTAACATGTTGGGAGTTATATTTTTTCTACATCCTACCCTGAGCTTTGGAGACTGACTCCACACTCTCCTGACAGCCTAATAAAAGGTCAGTGGCCACAGAGATACCTAGAAACTGATGCTTAATTCTACTTTTCAAAAGCTCGAGGAAGCCAGTAATGAGGAAACCCAAATGTTTGAAATTAGCTAAATTGAATCCGGCTCTTCCTGGTCCTACCAACAAGACCCACAAAGCTGTTAAAAGGAAGTATCGGTGTGAGCTCTTCAGCTATTCTTGCATCTTAATCATTCTGGAGTACTTAATTTTTATAATTATAAATCATGTATATATCAAATTCAGTGTTTGGGAAAATGCCTAGGTGTTTTGAAAATCATTTCTGGGGGCTGGGAATTTACCCTAAATCTCATCTTAATCTCCCCTTAACCTCATCTTACCCTAACCTACATCTAGCAACAATGTCGGCCTCCAGAATGAACAGCACTCAAAGTTATTTCCCTGGGCAAAAGGAGATACCTGTATTATTTATGAACATAGTTGAATGAAATTTATATTTCTAAATTAGAAACATTTTCTAATTACAACTAAGTCTGTAATTAGAATTCCTAAGAACAAAAGCTGTATTCATTGGGCTTATTAACATGAGTGCTTGATGCAGAAAAGACTGGTAAATCTGGAGAGTTATAAAATACATTTATTTACTTTGATTTATATTTGTTATTTACTTTTTATATTACTGATGATTTATATTATTGATTTCTTATTCTCAGTTTGCCCTGGTGAGCTCTGCAATTATCTGTTCCTTAAAATTCACTTCCTTGTGCTTTCATTTGTGACCAAATATTAGATATTTAAGATTAATTCAGTTACATTTTTAATTATGGTATATGTATACTTTAAATTTTTGTTGATTATTTTATCAGCAAACCAAATTAAATAATTCATTGTTATGTTCTTATACCAGCAGAGCCTTCAGAAATGTAAAGGGCAAAAATGAAATCAGTAATTAAAAAGTGTGTTGTTCTTATTTCTTTTCCCCCTCACACACATTTCTTTCTTCTCCAGAAAATGAGGCCAAAAAATGTTTACATCTCTAGCCAAAAGTTCATTATTTAAGTCCTCTTGCCTGGATTCAGTATACCCAGGAACATAATTGCTAAGCCTAGTTCTCCGGTAGAGAAAGCCTTATGCAAAACTAAAGTATAACTTGTGAGAATGCAAAAAGTATTCACAGATTATTATGAACAAGGCAGATATTTCCACACTCTTTAGCAGTTATGTACATGGGGTATCAGTGGACACAGCAACTCTGATCTGGCATGTTTATTAACCCACAGTCACCGCAGCCATGTCACCAAGCACCTCAGTGTTCCCATCTCAGACTTCCCATACCAAGCCACACAGTTACCACAGCCACAGTTCCCACCTTTTCCTCCCATAAACACGTCCTCAGAACCCTCCCTGGGGTCCCCAGTACCCACAGATCCCCAGCGCAGTCAGCATCCACATAAAGAAGTTCCCTGGGCTTATGTCATGTGTCACTTGCCCTTTTGATCCATGCTGCTTGTGTTCCGACTTTGTTTTCTTAACTGTAAGCTCTGAGATCAAGGTCCACATCTGAGTCAATAGTGTATATCCCACAGCATGCTGGTACTTAGTAATGTGCTTGAGTGGATGAAGAGACCCAGAATGAGGTCGTCGCAAGCTTCTGACACAGTCTGGGCCTCCTGGCTTCTCTAGAAGACTCCCACAGACACCAGTGCACCTGCTGATGAGCTCAGGCCTGGAACCCCCACCCGAGCAGCTTAGCAGAAAGGGCGGGGTTTGGTCCAGTGGGTAGGAAGTGGAGGCAGGATTATTAGAGGTAGCAAGGAAGAGACTCCGGACAATGATCGTGGGTGTGGCATAGATGCTATGGAGGCTCAGCCCCATTATTCCTTTCCCTCTCCCACCGTGGCATTTTAGAGGGATTTAGGGATTTATTCCCAGACCACAGGACCTTGTCTAAGGGAAGAGCAGCCTTGCTTCTCTGATGGGCCTGATCTGTAGGCCAGTGCACTCTCCATACTTGATCTATGGTTTCCCTCTCTCCAGGATGCACTGGGGGATGGGGTGCCCACGGCCAGTGCCTAAGAAATGCTACCCTGCTATGGTCAGAATGTTGTCACCTATCAGCATTGTCCATCTGTCCAGCCTCAGAAGTGGCATCTCAGGGCCAGGGATTTAGCTCAGTGGCACCACACGTGCCTTGCAAGCTCAAGGTCCTGAGTTCGACCCCCAGCACCAAAAAAAAAAAAAAAAAGAAGTAACATCTCAGAGAGTTCTGGGTCTGGCTGTCCCACAGAGGCTCCACCCAAGGGCCACCACTCAGTCGTCCGTGCCACTGATCAGCTCCCGCATGAGGGGCGTAGTGGCAAAGGGGTGTGTGTCTTGGATGCTCAGTAGCTTCTGGGTGTTCTGGGCATTGATGCTGCGCAGTTCGGTGAGCACAGCCATGATCTTCAGGAACAGGAACCTGTAGCCACCAGAGGAGAGGTTGGGATGCAGTCCTCCCTCTCTCTAGCCTGAAGCCCTGACACTGCTCCGAGGGTGCACAAATTTCATCTCAGAGCATCTCAGGTCAGCCAAGAGATGGGCTCAGCTGAATTCCTTTGGCTGTGTCAAGAGGTATTTAAAGTAGGAATTGTGCTTTCCCTGCTCTCACCCACAGGGCTTGAGTTTCTGCATCTCCAGACCTAGGTGGAAATTCCACACCTTGTAGGTGCCAAGTGCATGGGTTAATTTGAGGGTACATAGAGTCACACTCCCTTGGTTAATACCAGGGGCCAGGACTGAAGCTGGAGGTTATTAGAGACAGGCTAGAATCTCTTCCTGGATCCAGCCCTGGATCTAGTGTCTGGACATACCATACACCTCTGTTTCTCATGAAGGATAAGAAAGCTGGCATCTCCAAGCCTCTTGGTCCCATACAAGGCAGGACTAAGCAAATAAAGACATGGCCCCCACAGCATCCCAGGATGCTGAACCCAAAAGTGCAGGCCTCGGGAAGATTTGAGCTTCCAGTTCACACTATGATACACAGAGCTCACTACAATCCAAGCGTGTCCTTGTCCATGGGCCCATGGGTATCGGACTATGCACTAGATCACAGGGACTCAGAATCAGTGAAACTAGGAAAGCCTCTGTCTAGATCAACTTCCAAGCAGCCTTGCTGTTTTGAGTCATAAGCAGACAAGGAAAGCAATTTCCCACCCCCAGTGTGTGCTCTTCCTGAGAAATTTGTAGATGGTGCTCAAGAGCTTGCGCTTTGGACATGGTCTGGCTGGGTCCACTGCCAGTCTCTGCTCCTCTGGCCTGGGAACCCTAGGAAACTGTCCCGAATCTTGGCTCCCATGCACAAGGGTGTTGGAACTCATCTCCTTCAGTGGAAAACTAAAGGAAATCGGGCACACTGACTCCTTTGCACCAGGGATGGCACCTCCCAATAAGATCTCTGATTCCCATCACTATTGGTATCTGTGCTATCTTTACCATTATGTAGTTATCTATGGCCATTGCCAGAGGAGCCTGTAGGAGACTCAGGAGAGTATCCAGCTCTTCCCTGCCCTGGATGACATGAGTTTGGAAGGCTCTGGCAGCAGATAAGTGTTCCCTCAACAGGGCACAGCCTTGAGCCCCACAGGTTTTCCCGAGGCCTGGCTGGTGCTCAGGCTGACACCCCATCCCTCACTCACCACCTCCCTGCTGTGCTCACCGGTGGGCAGGCTGGGGCCGGACACACTCAATGTAGGCCTTCAGAGTGGTGGCAAATTGCTCCTGCAGCTGTTCCACCACTGCACGTTGCATCACGCCTGGGCGGTCTGGGTTGGGGCAGGGTGGGAAAGGATGAGGTACCAGCAAGGGTGGGGAGGGACAAGGACAGGCTCAGTGTTCCCCAAGAGGGACATTTCTGACCATCTCCTGAGCCAGAGTCATTCAAGCAGGGCAGGGAGGGAGTGCTAGGGCTCTAAACCACCCACAAATCCAAGGAAAAACCATTCAGTATCCCTACCCTGGCTAAGCAGTTAGTGGGGAGCAAGGCTATTGGCCAGAACCTTCCTTGGAAGGACAGGAGAAAGTTGCTACCTCTGTAGACCCAGCAGAGCGGATGTCATGGGCCTGGGGGAGGCTATCACCTGGGGAGAAGAGGGAGATAGCCTGCATCAGCACATATTCCTCCTGATGCAGCTGCAGCTTCTTCAACATGTAGTGGAACTTCATCACAGGATTCAGGAGAAGTTTCTGGAAGCTGTCTGTGGGCAGATATTGGATTTCAAGTGCAGGATCTCAGGAAGCTAACCCAAGACCCAGCCTTCCCTCGTCAAGGTCTTTTGTTCCATCACCCAGTCTTCCTACCCTGCACTCCCAGGACCCACAGATCCTGGCATAGCTCCCTTCCATCCACAACTGTTGTGTTTCCCTCCCTCTGCCAAGTTATCCCTTGGGCACCTTTAGGGTCTTTGAAGAAGTAGGTCAGCCGACCACACTCCCAGATCCCAGTCTCTGTGTTGAACATTGTGTTGCACCTCAGTAGGCACATCTCAAAGGTGGCCCCCTTCAAGAGGGAGATCTGGTCCTCAATGGGCAAGTCCCTGGGAGCAAGCATAGGGAGGGGATGATAGCTCTCAGGGAAGCACCCACAGATGAGCATATTCCACATGTTGAGGGAAGAGACAGGGCAGAGTTAGGAAGGATGCCTTCCCCTGAGGATTGTTTCAGTTGCTTCCTGGTTGCCTCCAATCTTTCCCTGTCACAATCTGCCAAGCAGATGACTCCCATTATGGTCCTCTCCTCTCCTGCTACCATCTGGGACTCTCAATGCCCACCTAGCTTAGCATTCAGGTCCCTTATTTCCAAATCTGCCCTCTTCCATTGACCAGCTGAAAGCTTTCCTTACTCTTAGTGAACCTTAGTTTCTACTTGTGAAATAAAATGACAGTAGCACATACTGGTCAGTGTACTCAAAATAGGTGGTCATGAAAAGCAGCAAGTGACCTACCACTGTGGTGCTGACCTATGGATCAACAGATGCCATTTATGTGCACACCAGTAGATAGACTTCTTTTTCTGTTCCTTGACCTAATTTGAATTTGTGTTCCTGGCATGTTTGATTCATCCCCACATGTAGAAGCTCAGCAAGGCAATGAGGCCAACCCAAGGTCAAAGATGCCCAACACCATCTCTAGGCTTACAGACTACATCTTACAGGGCTTCAGCTCCCCCTAGACCAGGGCAGTCTTGGGTCTCCCACCAACCCCAGGTATCACAGTTGTTGCTCTCGTGCCCAGTGCTAGGGAGACCTGGTCCTTTGAACCTTTCAGGACCACCCACCCTCCCCAAGGCCTGCTCAGCCTTCTCTTGGCTGCAGATAGCTGGAGGCACAGCATCTGTTCCTCTCCTTCCTATCGTCTCTCCATAGACTCCCTTCTTTTTCCTTCCAACTCAGCCTTTGCTCTGAAACTGTCAACTCGTTATTCCTACCCACACGGGGAAACTGAGAAGGGAAGGAACTACTACTTGAACGTTCACCACGTGCTGAGTGCTCTTCAGATGCTTTATTTCATATTATATCCCCACAAAATTGGTATGATTAGTTCCTATCTCCAGATGGGGACCCAGTGGGTTACATGACAGGCCCACAGCCCCACAGCTAACGAGCCAGACAGCTAGGGCACTGGTGCTCTGAGAGGCAGCAACAATGACAGAGGGTCATTTGGCTCTTAATGTCCCCCAAATTTAGAAGGACTTACCTAGATCCTTTGAACATGATTGGTCATTTCCTTTTCCTTTCCGTATCTATCTGCCCAGCCCCATGTTCTACCTGAAGTAGGAGATGACTTTGGCAAAATTGATGATGCCTTTGAACATGTAGGTTGACATGTCAGCCAGGTGGGGCAGCAGGGAAATGATCTCTTTCCCATCGCTGTTTTCTGGGGGTTTGTAGTTCCAGACACTGCCATCTTCCGCCCGCAGCTGCAGAGAGATCTTCATACTACCCAGATATTCCTTGATCTGCTTCCACTTGTCTTCTGCCAGTGGGTACTTCAGAGACTCTGGCATCTCACAGCGACTGCTAAACACTTCTGGCAGCTGGAATGCAAGACAGGGTAGAGAGAGGACAGACAGCATTCGTTTTCACACAGACCCCAGTTCGCCATCTGCAGCTAAGAAGATGCACAGTCCCAGGCATGCGCTCCCATGCACACATGTGTGCACACAGGCAGCACTTACTCCTTCTATGTGGCCATCTCCTATCAAGTAGTGCTTTCTAGATTTATGAAGTAATGGTCACACAATCTCTGCACAGTCAGAATGGAGATAGAGGCATCCTCCTCCCCTTTGTCACAGTATCCCTGCTGTTGGTATCCCTGCTGTTGGTGCAAAGGCAAAGAACTGAGCCAGAGCCTCTGGGCTAATCTAGCTCTCTGAGCTGGGCAGGCCACCTGAGATACCTGTGGACATCCAGGAAGGGAGGCCATTAGGAGAACACCCCACTGTTGAAGGAACACCAGTCCACCAAAGTCATGCCCCCTCAGGTCCTGACCCTATCCTGTAAAGCCCTAAAAGCCAGAAAAAAGACTGGAACTTCTTAGCTTTCTCTCCAGAGTTACTGCTGCTGCAGGAGACAGTAGAGATTCGCAGAATCACCAGGGTGTCTTTGCTGCCCCCCTCCCCCGTTTCTAATGGGGAGGAGAGGTGAGAAATTGCATTTCTAACAAGTTCCCAGGTCATATTTAGGGTCCCTTCTCTGGGATCACACAGTGAAAAGCCCAGAAAATGAGTCAGGTTTTGAGGAACCAGCTCTGAAGGCCCCCTACCCGGAAGTCCTTGAAATGCGAGAAGGTGGTGTCAAAGGTTTTCTTCTGAGCATCCATCAACTCCCTGATCAGCATCTGCTGTTCCTCCGTCAGCCCCTGAGTGGCAAGAGGCTGGTTCTCCACTCTTTCCCTTTTCTTCCTCTTGATCAAGGCCCGCCTCTGCTCCACGGCCGCTTCGGACATGATCACTGAGGGGACAGCAGCCGGTGAGGCTCAGCACGCGCATGTCCCCCAACACACACACACACACACACACACACACGCGCGCGCGCGCAAGGTCGCTCTCCCCAGTTAGGGGACACCGCCAGGGGGACAGCTAGGAAGAGGACAAAAGCCATGGTGCAGGGACAGCTGAGAGAAAGGGCCCCGGCGCTGCCCACCCCTCCGGAGCAGATTGCAGACGCCTGCATCTCCCGGCCCCTCGCAGGCCTGGACACTGCCCCAGCAGCCCCACTCACTCTCCTTCTTCATGCCGCTCTCCAGGCACTTGCGCAGGCGGCAGGCCTGGCACTGTCGCCTCGTCTTCCGCGTGATCTCACACGTGCCCTTACGGAAGGGGCACCTCAGCCGGATATTGCGTTTCATGGCCCGCCTGTGAGGGGAGGAAGCAAAGGATACGTTTCATGGGGCCCGGTTCTGGGCCAGGAGCTCGGTCACACTGCCTCTCTCTCACGCTCTCTCGTCTGTGGGCGAGGAAACCTAGTCACAGGCTCTGTGCGCCTTGCCTTTGCCCTCGAGTGGGGCCAGGTCTAGGAAAGGCATAGGTGAGCCTCTTGCTTAAGGTCTGGGACTCAGCAGGAAGAACAGGAGCAGGGGAGGAGCCTTCTCTGACACATTCCCACAGGGGATGGGGTCGCCTTTTCACAGGTGACTTTCTGGCACAGTGGACTCCAGCCCTCAGTCCATAGCCTCGTCCCTTCGAGAGGGGCCTCCTAGCTCAAACCTGTGGGCCACCATGTTCATGCCTCAGCCCCAGTCCAGCCCTGAACCCCTGCTAGGAGGCAGAGTCTGACCCTGGGAGCATATGAGGCAAAAGCAGCTCCCTCCCTTGACCAGCTGTCATTCTAGACTGGGGGGTTGGGATAATGTGAGAAAGCTGCAAGGTCTGAGGAACATTTTGCACCTCCCTAGATGATGCAGAGTTGGGTTTTGGTATGGCCTCAGGTGGCAGAGGTTCAGAGCCCTGTGAGGGAGGTGCAGCAGGCGCTGATCCATAGACCCTTGCACAGGTTCCTGAAGTTGGCAGACAGTGGAGGCAGTGCCTTCGGGAGACAGCCTCTCCCCACAGCCCAGGAGTCATGAACTTCCCATCAAAGCCCCTGCCAGTGTGGCCCTAGCTTGGATTACCTTCATTTCCACAACTGGATGGAATGAAACAGTGCAAAAAATGAGGAATGCTGGCTTGGAAACTTGGCATCAGTCAGGGAGGCTGCTAGCCGGCCTTGAGGGCTGGACTGGGTCATGCTCATGGTGACTTCACAGGTTTGATCTCAGAGGCCTAAGCTCTCTAACCAGGTGACCATCCTAGGGAACATCTCAGGTGCCACCTCCCACACACTAGCCACTCCTGCTGGCCTGGGTAAGAGACCCCTTATGATGCTCCAAAGTGCACTGAGAATGGGTGAAAGGAGGAAGGGGTCTCATTTATTACAGGTATGCTTTGTATCAAATTCTAAGCTAGATATTTTGCAGAGCTTTGCAGATCTACTTGTCAAAATTCTGTGAAATCTCTTCTCTTATGTGCCCGGCATAGATGCCTGAGACTAAGGCTTTGATCAGATAGATCACTACCAGTCCTCCGGGTAAAGGATGAGATGAAATGTGAGTCCAAGTCCGTGTGATGCTGAACCCAAGCTCCTTCCCACCGTGATATGTTGCCTCCCTCTGCAAATGCTGGGAATGGCACTGAGTGGGAAGGAGAGAGCAGATGATCCCCATCCCCAAGGTAGCGCTGCTTGGATGGACACCTCAGACGTCCTCTTCTGTGCTGGGAGAACCCAGATGTGATTCAGATGTGAACTTGCCTCTATGCAGCCCTGGGGCCTGCACCCAGCTTGGTGATGTAGTGTCTGCTGCTAACAGCAGTCGCTAGGCCCAGCTCTAGCCCATGAAGTATGAAGGGCTCCTCTAGGACAATTGTCTTGTCCTTGGAGGAAGAAAAGATGAGGTTTTTTTTCCTTGGCTGAACATTGTAATTATTGCTTAGGCCCTGGGGTCCAAGAGAGCTCTCCAGTAAGGCGGCAGAAAAGGAAAAGGCAGACATGAGCCACAGAATTCACCAACATGAAAGCCTTCAGACTTCCTGCTATGAACTGTAGCATACTTTCCTTATTGTTAAGCCAGTTTGAGCCAAGTTTTCTGTGACCAGTAGCCAAACACATCCTGACACTGCTGCTGGGTCTCAGCCCTGTGATAGCCCAGGCTCTTTGGACCTACCCTAGGCAGAGTTACCTGACAATGGCTCAGGCTTGGCCCTGTCTGCCCTGCACCTGGGAACTCTTCACCCTGGTGACGTTGAACTCTCTTAGCCCAGAGGCCACTGCAGTACTTCTGTGGGCTCAGCTAGGCCTAGAAGTCTTCCTGTGAGTCCCCAGGCAAACAGCCAAACAAATCCTCCATTTATGACTCACTGACCAGAACTCCTTCTTTGGGATTGTAGGGTGGCACCTTGGGTCTTGGGTTCACTTCCATTCGAATGAACAGCTACCAGGAAGACCTTCCAAAGGGCCAGCGCAGGCTGGTGTGCTAGGAATTCCCAAGTGTGGAATTAAGGGCGGCACCACATGCCCCATCGTCACTCCTTTCTCTCCTCCCCTTTCTCAGTCTGAGACTTTGCTGAGGCTTGCCTTGCCAAGCTGGCTTTGTCTTTCTGTTTTTCCAGCTGGATAATGTGAGCCTACTATCCAGTCCTGCCTTGGATTTTCAAATCTTTTACTCTTTTACTGGCTGATCTTTTTTTCAAGAACACATGGAGGATGGTTCACAATAGAAAGGGACCTAGGTAGGGTCCCAGGACCCAGATAGGACCTGGGTAGACCCAGGAAGATTTGAAGATGACAGATTCCCCTGAGATATAAATAGTGCACTTGAGACTAATTAGGAGGACTTTGTGGGCCACCAGCCCACACTCTAGATCTGGGAGACAGATTGAAGTGAGGCTCTTAGACTGCCCAGGGAGTTCACAGCAGCTTCCAGTTAGATGGGACCCGGTGTGTCAGTGGTGGCAGGTGAGTGCAGGTTGATGGGTAACTCTACCTGAAAAAGCCCTTGCATCCTTCACATGTCATGACATTGAAGTGATAGCCATTGGCCTTGTCCCCACATACACGGCAGACCTGGAGACGCCCATCTTCCTCCTCTATGTTGTTGGGGGTCGTCCCAGAGACAGAGTCTGCTTCTTGGTAGTGTACAAGGTTGGCATGGCTTCTGTTTTCTTCACTTCTCACCTCCAGGTTTGCCTCTGGAACTCAGACTAGAAGTGAGAAAACCACAGGGGATTAAAGTTGGATAGTGATGTGCTAAGGCTGCGGGAGGAACATCTGTCCATTCTGAGTTTGGCTGTCATCTGAGTTCAATCCTGGAACCCCAAACTAGAAAAATGTGGGTGGGGATTTGAGTTGTTATCAATAAAGATGTAACCATGATATTTTGTATGTAACCATAGGGCATAGGAATAGAACATGTGAACAAGAGCATGAAAGAGAAAAAGGTTTTAAGGAAGGAAAAAATGAGAAGAAAAAGGAGGAGGCTGTCTAGCTCGCAACATGGAGGCAGCACCTAAGTAGACTGGGGTTAGGAGGCCATAATCTGGGCCCAGTCCTGGTCAGAGAACAGCTTAGGGACCGGTTACTGTTCAAGATGACTTCTTGGACTGGGTAGATCTAAGGAGGAGAGCCCCTCAGGTATGCTGTAGCCCTTGTTCCCAGAGAAAGCTGGGAAACCTGAGAGAGAGAAGGTATCCAATCAAATAACCAAGCAGATGGAGGAGCAGTGAGAGTGGAGTCAGGGTCACAATGCAGTGGGCCCCATCATGGTGCACCTGAAGGATAGATGTGGCCATCAGTAGAGCCACACTCAAGATGTCCTCCCCAGGCAACCTCATCTTGAGAGTGTGACTTGAATTCTACTTGGAATGGGCAGAAGAATAGGAAGCAGAAATCAGGGACTGACCTGCTCGCTACACTCCTGGAAAGTCTGTCTAGGGCAGCCACACCACAGATGATGTTGACTTTCCAAAACCAAAATAAAATTCAGTAAAATTTCAACACACAAATTTCTGTTTCTAGTATCATGACAGATGACACTTGACAGTTTCACCTAAAAGAGTGAATAGGAGGGGCCAGGAACTTAGTTCAGTGGCAACACGCCTGCCCCACAAGTGCAAGGTCCTGAGTTCGATCCCTGTTACAGGAAAAAAAAAAAGTGAATAAAAAATTAAGCTGCCTCTGAACTTGGCCCTTTTAATAGAATAGGCTGACTAGAAATTTGAACTGAGTAAGTTCCCTTGATTTTTTAAGTCATAATCCTGACATCAAATAAGCTTATAGAAAAAAGGACTTATTTAGGGTACTCACAAAAACCTCAAGCAAGATTTGATTTAAAGTACTCTTGGGTTAGTAATTCTGCCAGGCACCCAGAGAGGCAGCTGCAAATCCTACTCTTTGGAGGAATTCATTTTCCACTTTCTACCTAGGTACAAATAATTACGCATGTAATTTCCAAGATACAGGAACTAAAACTCACGAATCTTTTTTTTTTGGTATATCCTTTTATTGGTACATTTTAGGTGTACAATATAATGGCATTCATCACTGGAGATATGCACCTCTACATACTCTCTTGGTTCTTATTTTTTCTCCCTTCTTCCCCTGCCCTCCCTTCAACCCTTCCATTCCTCTCTGTTTACAAAGACTTTGTTTCCTTTTTTTCATTTTCTCATATTAATTCCATTCCCTTCTTTCCTTTCCCCTACCCATCCCACTTCCCCCTCCCCTTTGCCTCTTTTCTTCCTATTTCACATTATCTATTATACCTTTTAGTCCTTATTTACACTTTCAGTTTCTCACACTAGAGAAACTATCTGGTATTTACATGTATGTGTCCTATTTATTTCACTTAAGAGTATAGCCTCAATGTGCATCCCCTTATCTATAAATGTCTCTAATTTCTCATTTTTTATGTCTGAGTAGTACTCCATTTTATATATTAAAAAAACCACATTTTCATTACCCAGTCTCCAGTTGATGGGCATCTGGGCTGCTTCCAAGTTTTAGCTATTACAAATTGTGCTGCTATGGACATGGGTGCACATATATCACTGTGGTATGATACTTTTAATTCTTTGGGGAAGATACCCAACAGGGGAATAGCTGGGTCAAATGGGACTTCCAGTCCTAGTTCTTTGAGGTATCTCTATACCGATTTCCACAGTAGTTGCACCAGTCTGCACTCCCACCAGCAGTGGAGCAGGGTTCCTCTTTCCCCACAGCCCCGCCAGCGTATGTTATTGGTTGATTTCACGATAGCAGCCATTCTTTCTGGAGTGAGGTGGAATCTCAGTGTTGTAAAACTCACGAATCTTGAAAGACTAATAAAGCACCAGAGCAAAAGTCAGCAAAAAGCAATTTTAAGCAGAATTAGACATGCAGACCCTGAATCATCAAATGCAGAATGTGTGTGTATAGGTAGAAATAGTTGAAGATGTAAGAACAAAGGCCATAAAATTGACCAAGTAGATTTTATCAATGAATAAAAATTAACTTTAAAATCTAAACAAACAACATCTGTACAAACCAATAACAACAGGTCTTGAGAATTAGAAAAAAACCAACTAAAATATGCAACTGTGTATAAATAAGATGGGTGATCACAGTGAAAGTTTTTCTAATTCTATATTGTTGAGGAAGGAAAAAGGCAGTAAATGACTCAAATTTTGATTAGTAAAGTATACTTGTTAAAACATAACCTCTTAGAAATAACATGTAACTTGGAAACTAATAAATAGGAAGGAAAAATTTCTAAAAGAGGCCATTAGGGAGGTAAAAAGAAATTGAAAGGAGGACATAAATGAAAAACACAAAGTAGGATGATAGAAATGCAGAAGAAAACACTGGCCAAATGTTCATGACACTAGTGTGGACAAAGATTTTTTGGCTAAGACCCAAAAGGCACAAGCAGCAAAAGTGAAAATAGGCAAATGGATTATAACTAGGAAGCTCTTGCACAGTAAAGGAAATAGTTAGAATGAAGAGACAACTTGCAGAATGGATAAAATATTTGCAAACTATTCATCTGACAAAGAATTAATATCCAGAATATATAAGGAATTCAAACAACTAAACAGCAAAAAAAATCTGATTTAAAAATGGGCAAGTAGGGCTGGGGATTTAGCTCAGTGGTTCTGCCGCCTGCCTTACAAGCACAAGGTCCTGAGTCTGATCCCTGGTACCAAAAAAACCCCCAAAAAACAAGAAACAAAAATGGGCAAGTCACATAAGTAGACATTTTTCAAAAGAAGATATACAAATGGTGAACAAATACATGGAAAAATGCTCAATATCACTAATCCCCAAGGAAAAAGCAATCAAAACCATGATGGGTTATCGGCTCAAACAAATTAGAATGACTTTTGTCAAAATGATACAAAATAACAAATGCAGATGAAGATTTGGAGAAAGGAGAATGCATACACTTTGGTGAGAATATAAATTACTACAGCTGCTAGGGAAAATAATATGGAGGTTTCTCAAAAAAGTAAAAAGAGGACTACCAAATGATCTAGCAATCCTATTAGATATATATCCAAAAGAAATGGAACCAGTATATCAAAAAGATACCTATACTCCCAAGTCTGTGGCAGCATTATTCACTATAGCTGGGATATGGAATCCACCAAGGTGTTCACTGATGAATGATTAAAGAAAACATGATAGACATGCAAAATTTCAGCCCTAAAAAGAATAAAATCTTGGCATTTTCAGCAACACAGATGAAACTGGAGGACATTATGTTAAGTGAAATAAGCTAAGCACAGAAAGACAAATACTGCACATTCTTACTCATTTGCCAAAGCTAAAAAAACCCAACAATTTAATAGAAGAAAAGGAGTAGAATAGTGGTCACTAGAGATTAGAAAGGGAAGTGGGGAGGAGCAATAGAGAGAGATTTGATAACAGGTAGAAGAGTAGTTAGATAGGAACAATTAGTTTTAGTGTTCTACAGTACAGTTAGGATAATTACAGTCTCGAACAATTTGTGATATATTTCAAAATAACTAGAAAAGACCGAAGTTTCTCAGTAAGAAATGCCTGAGGAGATGCAAATGCTAATTACCCTGATTTTGATCATTACATGTTATGTCCATATATTTAATTATTGTACCATACCCTATAAATATGTACAAATAATATGTGTCAGCTAAAAATATAAAAAAGATTTTTAAAGATAGCAGAAATACCAAACATATTGATAGTGAAATATAAGTATATGGAATGTTCCTATTCAAAGACACTAAGAAAAAACGGTTTAGGTGGACAGTTAGGGTAACTTAAAGTTTTAGTACTAGTATTTTGGAGTCTGTATAGGACTTTAGGACTTTGTGTTGGAAATTAAGACATAGGGCAGATACCAAAATGGTAACCAACAATTACTGAAACTCAATGTCCTAGGTCCTTTGCAAATGGTAACTCATTGTCTTCATCAATTTTGGCTGCTGTAACATAATACCATAAACTAAACAGCTTTATAAACAACAGAAATGTGTTTCTTATAATTCTGGAAGCTGGGAAGTCCAAGATCAAGGAAAAGCAGATTCAGTGTCTTTTGAGGGCCTGGATCATAGACAGCATCTTCTCCCTGTGTCTGCACATGGTAGGACTTAGCTCTCTGAAATTTCACTAATCCCTATCATGAGGGCTCTACCCCCATGACTTAAAGATCATTTTGGGTGGTGCCATTGCTTTTGGGATAAGGATTTCAACATATGAATTTTAGGAGGAGATAGGCATTCAGAATGTAGCATTCATTTATTCCTCATTATGATCAAAATGTGTACCTATTTCAAGCATGAGAACATACTCTGTTATGTATGGGTCCATTTTAGGTTCTATATAACTTGGAAGTTACTCATTGGGCAACAATTCCTGGCCTTCTAAAACCTTCTAACTGCTCATAAGATACAATGTTTCAAAATCAAAAAGCAGCACAGTTAGAGAAATTTTATTTGCAGGGAAATGTTTCAAAGTGTATGCTGGAGAACACTCTTCCTTAGGTTTTGGACATCATTCAGAAGTCATTAGGGATAGTAACGTCTGGGAAGGAGACATTTGACAAAGACTCTGCACATAAATTATGAACTTTAAATGACGGAAGATGGTGAGATGGAGCTTCCTCAGAAGGGAAATGATCATTACAATATGATGACATGAATCACAGGAGAAATTCAATAGTTGATATAAACTGACAAAGGAAATGTCACTAAAGGGCTAGAGGAAAGACATTTACTTAAACCATGTCTAATTAACCCTTTCCCCAATTCCTTAATGAAGAAGTATTAGAATTAATGCTGGGATCTTGCTCCATAGTAGTTTTATACCATTTGTTTGTTTTGCCTACATTTGTTATTAAATAGGCAGACTCTGGTGCATTGCGCAGGCCATTCTCTTGTACTTTTATGAAGGCTCAGCTAGAGAACACATAACAGTTCTTCTCCAAAGACAGCACCCCCACCCCCAGGAGCTACATCTACCCATGTACAGTCCTTGTCCATGGAGAACTGAGGATGGTCTGTAACTTGCTTTGATGAGTAGATTATGAGAAAGCGACATGGTTCCAGTTCTGGATCTAAGTCATAGGAATCCTGGTACCTTCTGTTTTTGCCTTTTGGAGAACCCCAAAAAGTCTAGCTACCCTCAGAGTGACCACCCAAGGAGACTGCAGAAAGGCCATGTGAAGGTGGAATGGCCTGCAGTCCCACAGATGGGAGAACCCCAGCTGCCCACCTCCTAGTTGTCTCCACCAAGTTCACTCCAGGAATGTGAGGGAGCTACATGAGTGAGGCCTTGTGAACTTCCTGGCCAAATCCAGCCTCCAGATGACCCGAGCCTCAGCCAAGCTCAAGTAGAGCAAAGAGCTCCCCAGTGAGTCCTATCAACAAAAAAATCATGTTGGGAAATAAAATGGTAGTTGGTTTATACAGTAGGTTTAGGGGAGATTTATTATATGGCAAGAGATAACAGGAACAGAAGCCCTGAGTTTTGCTAGAAATAGATCTGTAGTAGAGTTGGGGATGTGCCGGCATGTCCTGCTACTGTGGCTCTCACATCAGTTTGTTTTCCTTATGGAATGGTGCCCCATGGGCAGGAAAATGACAGTGAGAAGCTCTTGCTGCATGCCAGCCACCTCTCTTTCATGTGAATTTCATAAGACGAACTGTGTACTTTTAATCAACTACAGCTGTGTTTTATTCTAGAGGTAGAACCTGGTCCTCAATCTGCTTTGTAATCAGTGAAATTTAGCCAGAAGTGGGCTAAAATGATGCTCTTTTGTATTTAGTGAAAGGAAAATACATCTTCAATAAGGGTTTGGCAAAAATAATTGTAAAATCCAGTATAAAGAATACTGGAATACCAATACTAAATATCAACACTGAATACTCAATACCAAAGAAAGAATTATGTTCTCAGTAAGGGTCATCCATAAACGAATACATAAGCCAATGAATTTAGGTTTCTCTACAATGGGCTTGGCACTATTAGGCTGTGCTGAGCACAAACAGCCCCACTGCTCTCTGGGTGGGTGATATATTGACACTGCTTTGATGTGAGGAGAAAGAGCCAGAATTGGAATCTGTGTTCTTTTTTCTTTTGGTACCAGGGATTGAACTCGGAACCTTGCACTTGCAAGGCAGGCAGCAGGACCACTGAGCTAAATCCCTGGCATCTGTGTTCTTAAGTCACCTTTAAGCTGCATCCCTCAGAAGATGCATTTCCCAGTAGGCAAATCTCCTTCATCTCCATGATGACCAAAGACTTTTCTTATGCAATTCACCTGGGACACAGCTCCTCTGCATTGTGTGGCTCTGATGTAGCTCTGTTTCCAGGCAGGAGGTAATTCCCTAAGATCCTCAGTTCTTTCCTTGCTATCTCAGTTCTGGTTAAAAAACAAGGGACCAAGGAACTTTACTGCCACTTGGGCCACACCCTGGGGCATCCTGTCTCATGTTCACTGAAGGTCTGTGGGTTTTCCCTTTCACAGTTAGAAATGTTTGTGCCGGGGATTTAGCTCAGTGGTTCCGCCGCCTGCCTTGCAAGTGCAAGGTTCTGAGTTCAATCCCCAGTACCAAAAAAAAAAAAAAAAGAAAGAAAGAAATGTTCAAGGTTGTGATTTGTGATGGGCACCCTCTGGGTTTTGACCAGTTTTGGGAAAGCTTTGTCTGGCATTCTACACCTTTGGCTTTCCAAGAGAGCCGATGTAAGCAGAAGACCATAAGTCTAAATGACCTGTGGTTTTTCTGGGCCGTTACCCCTGTGTTTTGCTGATTCAATGGTTCTTGGCATTTGTATTATAATCAGGGTTTATGTTGAAGACATTTTCTTTTGTTTCTCATCAATCAGGCCTTCTACTAAGCCTCTAAAAATACCAATTTTGGCTTAGTCAGAAATGACCCTTAAAGAGCTTTATGGTGGGCTACACATTCAGTAGGGTCCCCAGTATGCTGTCTGAAAAAAACCATGAAATTTCTGGAAACAGATGCTTTCATAAGACCAACTAGCTATGTACTTTTAATTGACTGCAGCTGTGTTTTCTTCTGGGGTTAGCACCTGCTCATCATCCTGCTTAGTAACTGCTGAAATCTAGCCAGAAGAGGGTGCTGTGTGCAGGCAACAGGGGCCTGATGAGGTGGGACAGTGAATCATGCCATGGCAACTTGAATAGTTTAAGAAATGCCCAGTGAATTAGTACAGCATGGCTCTGGGTATGTCTGTGGATGATTGACATGTAGGCCAGCAAACTAAGAGAAGAAGACCCACCTTGGATGTGGGTGAAACCAATCAATAGACTTGTAGCCTGGACAAAATAAAAAGGGAAAGAACAAGGAAGTGTCCCCATTCTGGAAGGGCTCCAGTCTTCACCATTACCTTTGGACATCAGGCTCCAGTTTCTTTAGCCTTCCAATGTAGACCTCACTGTTGACTCTACAGCTGCCTTCAATGTTAGACTGGTGTCGTATCCTTGATCCTCTTGCTCTACAGCTTCCATCTTCTGGGGCTGAGCAGATAGTGGATCATTCAGCTCTCCAGTGCACAGACACCAATTGTAGATTCTCCTTCCTCTGATCCTGTAAGCCTACCTAAAAATCCCCTTGCATAATTATACATATATATATATTTTTCTTTGGTACCAGGGATCGAACTCAGAATCTTGTGCTTGCAAGGCAGGTACTGGAACCACTGAGCTAAATCCCCGGCCCATACATATATTTTCTATTGAGTCTATTCTTTTAGAGAACCCTAACTACACCAGGTGTGTTGTAAATTCCAAACCTCTTAGCCACATTTAAATAGTCATCAAATTTAGCTTGAGTGGAATAAGAGCAATGGACTTTTTCTTTTGAGGTACTGGGGATCAAACCCAGGGCCTTGCACTTGCCAGGCAAGTGCTCCACCACTGAGCCACACCCCTAGCTGATAAACACTCTTAATGTGAAACATTAAAGTTTAGTGAAGATAGATTTGTACCAAGTTTGGAGGGGCATATTGGGGATCATCTCACTGAAAATTTAAACTATGTGGCATGCAGAGAATTCATGTTGAAAAACTTGGAGGGAACTTCAAAGGGAGGAATCCACAACAGCAACAACAAAACTTTTAAAAGGCAGGAATGGAATAATTGTTTCAAACATGATAGCAAAAATCTGTTATGAAGAAACACTAGATATATCTTCAGGAGGAAAATAAAATGTCAGTGTATTAGTTACTTTCTCATCCCTGAGACACAACACCTGACAACCACAACATAAAGGAGGAAAGGTTTATTTTAGCTCTTTTTTGTGTGTGTGGTTTTTTTTGTTTTGTTTTTTTAGACAGGGTCCCCCTATTTAGTTCAGGCTGCCCTTGAACTCACTATGTAGTCTGGGCTGGCCTCAAACTTGCAGTGATCCTCCTGCCTCAGCTTCCAGAATGCTGGGATTACAGGTGTGCACCACCATTCTCAGCTTGGCTCACTTTTATAGAGGTTTCAGTCCATAGTCGGCTGGCTCCAAGGCAGGGCAACATGGCAGAGGGGCATGGCAGGGGAGAGCTGCTTATGGCATGGCAGTCAGGAAGCAGAGACAAGGGTCAAGGAAGAAGGGAGGGAGATACAACCTTTTAGGCTATGCCCCCAGCAACCCTCTCCTCCCATCAGGTTCTACCTCCCAAATCATATTAACTATAAACACATCAATGGACTAATTCACACTGATGAATATCACATCCACATGATCCAATCAGCCACCAAAAGCCCCACCTATGAGCATATGAGGCATGGTAGTGGAGACATCTAGCTATAAACCATAACATTCTACTCCTGGCCCCCCAAAGACTCATATGTATCTCTTTATGCAAAGTGCATTTAGTCTGTGTGTAAGAGCTGCAAAATTCTTAATAGTTTCAGCACTGCTGAAAAGTCTAATCCCAAGTCTCTGATGTTTAAGGCAAACTTTTAGCTGTGAGCTCCTGTAAAAATAAAAAAAAGTTAAACGCAGCCTACATTCAAAGAGACATGGCAAGCATTATCATTCCAAAAGAAGGAAATTGAAGGATTAAAAAGGGATAGAAACAGAAAAAGACCCAGCAGGAAAACATTAATCTCTATAGTTCCATGTCCAGCAGCTAGGGCAATCTGTGCCAAGACAGGAACTCCAAAGGGACTGGGTGGCTCCATCCTTACAGATCCACTGGTGGTTGTAGCTCTCATGGCTCTTCTTTTGGGCCTGATTTGCTTGCTCCTCGTGGCTTTCATCAGATCAGATCCGTGTTCCCGGTGTCTCCAACCTTCTGGGGTTTCCATTGCTCTTTCAGCTTTATCCTCACAGGTTCACACACTGCCTTCCAAGGGGCACTCTGCTGGGCCTTCCAAGCTTTCTTCTGAAATCTGGGTGGACACCCTCCTGATTCTACAATTCTTGCATTCTGCATGCTTGTAAAATCAGCAGCATGTGGATAACCCAAAATCTGCCACCGGTAGGAACGGTAGCTGAGCCCTTTTGTATCTTCCCAGTGGTTGCAGAGGCCTCTGAGTGCCTAGCTGGCTGAGGATAATGAACTGAATCCCAGAGAATCAATTCCCATTCCCCAGACTGCCACCATTCTGGAGTGTGGTGCCCTGGGGTTCTCTTCTCAAAGCAAAGTCTTTCACTTTTCCACCTTTGAGTCTGTGAAGGGTAGGGTCTTTTGGGTTCCTCCCATGTCCTCAAGGCACACTTTGTATTGTCCAGTTCCAAAGTACTTGATTTCTTTTTAATGTTAGTATTTTCATCAATCAAACTCTCCCCTGCTCCATATTTACAGGCTCCAACTTTCCTGAGGCTTTCTTTCTGGCCAAATTTGAAACTTTTTAAATCATTTTGTTGGGCCATTTGCTTTTGATTCTCAACATAGAGCTGGCTAAATGCCCTCAATGGTACCCAAGCCACAGCCTGAATGTTTGGCTGCCTTGAAATTTCCTCTGCCAGATTAATTATATCACTGCCCTTAATCTCAGTCTCTCACAAAATCTCAGGGCAGGAACAAAATATAGACAAATTTTCTGCCAAAGCATAGCACGCATGTCCTGGAGTCCAACAGCCAATGCAGTTCTTGTTCCCAACTGAAACCTCCTGAGCCTGGTCTTAATTGGCTGCATTTCCATAAGCATTCTGGCCTTTTGAGCTCTGACCAGAATCTACCATCAAGCTTAGTTTATAGCAATCTAGGGCTGCTTCTCTAGCCAGCATCCTGAATCTTTTCAAACTCCTTCTGCCAGCTAGTTCAAAAGATTTCTCAACCACGTGGTTAGTCACAGCAATGACCCCACTTTTCTGGGATCAAAATCTGTCTTAGTTACTTGCTTATCAGTGAGATACAATACCTGACACCCACAACTTAAAGGAGAAAAGATTTATTTCGGCTTACAGTTTGTAGTGGTTTCGGTTCATAGTTGGCTGGCTCCAACTCAGGGCAGCATGGCAGAGGAGAAACAGTTCATGGCATGGAGGTCAGGAAGCAGAGATGGAGGTCAAGAGAGAAGAAAAGGACATATATCCTTCTAGGCCACACCCTCCTGTGACCTACCTCCTCTAACCAGGCTTCACCTTTCAAGGTCATATTTAGCTATTAACTCATCAGTGTGGACTAATCCACACTGATGAGTACAACACCCACATGATCCAATCACCTCCTGAAAGCCCTACCTATGAGCACATGAGCAGTAGCAGTGGGGACATCTAGACATAAACTATAACAGTCAGTTATACTAGTGTTAATGATCAGTCAGAGAGTTGTCTGGTGCAATAAAACACAAGACAAAAACATATGTATCACTCTTACAAACCAGGTAAAACTGACAGTGCTTAGAAACTCTAAGAAAACCAGCTAAAAACCCTGAAAATACATAACAGTATACAAGATAAATACATAAAATTCAGTAAGTTCCACTTATACTATCTGTCAATAATAATACTATAATATCAACCTAATAGGACCATAAGAAAGGAGCAAAAACAAAAGCCTGGTAATATTAACAAGAAATGCCTGGGTCTGGAATTTAGCTCAGTGGTTCTGCTGCCTGCCTCACAAGCGCAAGGTTCCAAATTCAATCCCCAGTACAAAAAAAAAAAAAAATGCCTGGAAGGAAAAAAACTAAAACTCTGAAGGATAGAAATGGAAAGAGACTCTTAAAATTTAGTACTTTAAGAATGTCCAGAGCCAGTCCCAGCACCCAGAAGGAAGCTCCCCGACTCCATCCCAGGCTCCTAGGGCAGAGAAGCTCAGCCAGTCCCAGCACCTGGAAGGAAGCTCCCCCACTGCCATCCCAGGCTCCTAGGGCAG